ATTAATTTGTTCAGATTAGATGTGTTAGTTGGGATTAAATGACATGAGATGCTATGATGTGAATTTATTTAGTGCTTTTTGTTTTGATATTCTTTCATGATATCTCATAACTCTCTCTTTATATCTATTTTCTTTTTTTTTAATTACTCAGCTTATTCATTTCTATCTCTTTCAAGTTAATCTCACTTTCTCTTCCTTCCTTCTCTCTATACACATAATATTTATTTATATGAAGACTTTCCTTTCGTAGGAAAGTGCATGATGAATATTTTTGAAGTTCGGACTCGCTAAAAGATAACGGCTAATTTCCGTTTTATTGTAACCGTTTTGCTTTAATACGGCATTCAGGTTGGTGCAGTTCTTGGTTCTTTTAGCCTGAATACTCCTAGACTGAGAGGTGGTTTTGCAACCTGACTGACACGCCTACAAGCTAATATCTCATTAACTCAACCTGAGCTTCTTACTGAATTACGCAGTCTAGGTCAGCGAAGTTTTGGGTCATCAAACTTTGATGACCCGCGCCTGACATTACGCTTTCGTAATCACTCTGTTTTAGGACCGGTGATATCGACCTCCAAATCTCTTCTTCCTACACTTTCATACAAAATGTAAGTCTCCCCAACAATGTTATCTTAAGAGATTCATTAAAACTCATTTACCCTCCTCATCATTTTATTTGTATACCTATTATGTAGGTTTCAGAAGTAACAAATTTGTATTCAATTCAGGTCACATATTTAGATGTAGGATAAATAGTTGTATTTTCCCACAATTATATGTAAATGCCTCCCAGTTCTATTGCTTCCAAAAGGGTATTCTCATCCCCGCTGGACAACAGCTTCGGTCTCATCAGCACTTCGTTTTGGATTTTCTCCCCGATGGCTAACTAATACGCCACACAGACACTGGTGCCCTTGGCCCACAGGGCAGGTGTGGCTACCAACGAAAGCCAGGCCTGTCCCAAACCACATTTACGTATTGGGATTTTGGATGAAGCAAACATGTATTTGCTATTTCAATCGACTGCATTACTTATGTTAGTTTTACTGAGGAGACCTATGCGAGATCCAGTCTGAATTAGGATACCTTTTGGGCATCAGAGCCATGTGAACTTCCCTAGAAATATTAGACCTATTTATTTCATTGCGGGAAAATTAAACTAACAGTCCGTCATCACTTTATGCGACCTGGGGTTAATTACTCACATCATTTAGATAATACATTATTATTATTTTCTTTTGCTTAAATATTTGATAACTTCCGATTACTCCCAGAACTGCTTTACTCTTGTCCACAGTCCCCCACCAGCTTCGCGCTCCTTCGAAATGGGCCATAGACGCCCGGATCGATACGTCTCTGCTCCATCCATGCCTCGACCAGCCCTGAGGGCGGTGTACAGCTCGCCTCCGGCCCCGCCAGACCAACCCTGAAAAGAGGCTGCTTCGAGCTGCACCAGTCTACTCGCCTCGCCATCGGTCAAGGGCAGACATTTGGCTTTCCGGCGCTCATCTTCACTCGTTGACTTGAGGCCCCTCGTCTTCTGCGGCTCCCGGTCTGAGTGTCCCGAATCCTTCACAAATGGCCACCGCCAACTTGACGCAACGGCCGGCTGGACCGAGTCGCGACAACAGCTTCGGCCTCCTGACGCCGGGACGCACCAGTCCGCCGTTGTGCACCCACAGCAGCAACTACTCCGACCTGCTAGGCCTGGGCGCCGAGAGTGAACAGGAGACAGCAATTGTACCGATAGCACTGGGTTCGAGTAAGGTTTTTGCTCGGGCGTATTCGCAACAGGACAGTCGGGCCGAGACGACGCGCTCGGTGAACCAGGTCGACTTGAGCGAGCAAGACAACCAGAAGACGACGATTCGTGTGCCATTCCCCAACGAGGCCTTGGTCGACATCGACTCCAGTTCGCGTAGTTCCGGAGAAACCCTCTCTTTCATGCGGATGACTCCGTTTCCACGGCAGCTCAATGTACGCATGATCAGTAAACTCATTTCCAAGGTTTACAAAGCGGCGGAAAACCTGGACCTGCCGGACAAAGACAGGAAATTGCTGTTGCGCATCTTGCGTGAATTCATTCAACGCAACACCAGCGATTTGCAATTGCAGATGGCCTCCGACAGTTCGGGTCCCAGTGAGAAGGAGTCAAACCTCCAAGCCTCGTGTCGGACGACCTCAGACGCGGATACCATGACCAGCACGAGCCCAGTGCCTCCGGTTGTGCGGCCGCAGATGCGTCAAATCACCGAGCTCAGCCTGATCGAGCTGCACAAGTTGTTGTTTTTGCAGAGCAGGAGCCGAGTTCAGGCCGTCATCTATCGGCTGAAACGACTCCGAGCGATGCGGCAACAGGAGATACTCAACCGAATTGAGCACAGGATGCACCTGGCCCGATCCAAAGCGCCTCACGTAAAGGTGAGACTGGAAAGATGGGCTTTGGGAGAGAGGCTAGCCTTAATATATATTTCATACGAATTTAGTTAGAATCACTTAGCATTATATATTACATATTTTCTCGGGCTCCCTTAAAAGGGTTTAGTGAATGTGAGCTTAAAAAGTAAAAGACATTATAGTTGTTTTCAAAAAAAGGAGGAAAACGAAATAGTGCAACAATCATCAAGTAGGAAATGTTTACAAGGTGTATTCACCCTATTTTGTTTAAGGTGATGAAGAACGGGTAATTGAATTTCCTCCCTCAAAAATATGAGCAAATCAAACGTTTACATACATTTCACATAGCCTTGCTTCTCAGAATTTTGTCCTATCAATATGCCCTGTGAACAAAGGGACGTCGTTGCAGTGTGGAGGAGTGGCTAATATGTCGAGATTATACGTTGCACTATCACGATTCGAGTCCCATTAAGGGGATTTAGATTACCTAGGTGAGGTCGAAACTGCAATCCAGCCTGGATGAGAAGACTTTTTTAGAAGCAAGGTTATGCGGAATTGAGTGGAAACGTAAAATCTGGTCATATCATTGTAGGAAACATTCAAATACAAGACCTACATCACCTTAAACGAAATTGGATATATTCAAATCTCATATCGGATATACTAGTAGTCTCTAAATCCTAATTTAAACGAAACATAAGTAATGTAGATAGGAAGACCAAGATGTAGTGGCCTCTATTTTGTCGCGGTCTCATTTCGCTGTATAGTAGTTGTTTGACCTTGTTTTCTCAACTTAACCACATTGACAGAAAGACCCAGCCCAGAGTCCATAGTATGCATGCTAATTTCCAGAGTAGGACCATGGACTTGGTACATTTCCAGACATTTCGCCGACATCGTAGTCGGTATCGTCTGTGAGTCTTTCCATTCTCAACACCAAAGTACAACTTGTGAAAGAGACAAGTGAAGTAAATATCTTGACCAGTTTGTGGAAACGGTTGTGCTAGCACCCCACGTTCTATCCTGGTCCTTCAATCCATTTTCTACCTACTTGCCTCGCCATCGTCCTATCACAACTTATGACATTTTATATTCCACAATGTCCTTTGGCGAATTTACTGTGGCGTCATCAAACCTGATGTTTGCTTTGCTCCCCTCCCTTTCGAGTGGCTGATCCGACTCTAGCCCTCTGTTCGGATCTGCCTCATGGGACCTTAAGTCCGTTTCTTATCTTTCTGGCTGACCGATTTCACAAGGTACCAGCCCCAGTGTCTATGTGCTATTTATCAAGCCTTCAGTTGCATGTACAATTTCACCTCATCTGCAGAGTGCCTAGGCTATGATTCCCATGCTTGCGCATATTGGGCATTGCCTTTACGCACCATCTCCTAGTTTAAACCCATGTTGTCTGAGCAAACTGTGGACATCTATCGCTGGTCGACTGCTGCATCTCAAGTGGATTATTGGTCAATTTGGCATAATGCCCAATTTCTGTGACCCAATCCATCACCATAGTCTTGTGAAACGTCAGGCCTCCAAAGTTGTACTTCCTTATTAGAGCTGACTACACTAATTGAGAACGTCGTCGCTTCATTTCCGAAACTTCCTCACCCTCTTCTTCCTTGCGATCACATTTTCTCTGGTTTACGATAGATTCTTGATCCAGGT